AGAGGGGGGGGGAGAGAAAAGGAGCAGGGCTTGTTGCATGTGCCCACCCCCTGGGCTCCGCTCCTGTGCACTCCTGCAGGAAATGACCCCTGATTCAAACTAAATATTTTATTATGTGAAAAACTAACCATTTATGCAAGACTCAGAAGCAGTACAGGAGCTACCCTTATGCCATAAGAATAAAGAAAAGGAAATATGACTGTCCTCAAGATGGTGAGATTGCTGTTGTTAATCTGTCTGGATGGCTTACTTGTTCAATTGTTAGCACCTTGCCTCAGTCTCAAGAAGAGAAGAGAAGAGACATATTGATATAAAGTTATGAACATTCAGTTGTGGGAGAAAGGGGCAATATTTACAGCACAATTTCAGCTCATGTACTTGGTAATCATGGACAGTATATCAACAAGTTGCAATAAACGTTGGGAGAGATACTGGCTGTCTAATCCTACCGAATCCTGTGTTTTTGTCAATTTTGACTTCTGTTCAGAGTTATGCTTATTCAAACATCTCGTTTAAAAGTGTTAGATGCAACTAGATGTTGCAGTGCTCTAAAAAAGTGTGAAACCTGCACTAGCCAAAAATGTGCATTCACATTAGAAATGTTTGGCCTCCATTTCATCTTCCATATTAGTGAAAAACAGATGTCATAAATAGCATGAGAGAAGCTCAAAGGTAATTACAATATGAGGGCTACTGGTACTTTCATAAATGACTTCATACAGTTTTGCTCACTGGCTTATACTGAATGGTGGATACCAGCTTACAACACCTGTTTAATTATATTCAGGCTTTTCTTTATGCATGTGTTCCATCAACACAGGGAAGCTAGGTTGCAGCTACTGCTCCTACCACCCATCTCTGTATATACAGTGGAAGGTTTGAACAGAGTTCTTGTTTGGATACAGACATATACAGGAAGGCTTTTCTACATAACTAGGAACCCTGAGGAAAACAGGGACCTAGTTGTGTAAACACAGCAGATGTATGCACGGTTCTGTTCAGATCTGCCACTCTATGCCCTGAGATCAGGGGCCAAGCTTGAACAGAACTGAATACTGTAGCGAAAGGAACTTTATGAGCAATGAACTCAAGAGCTCTTGTAAAATACACAGAGATGGTGTTCTTCAAACAACTTAAAACACACTGTTTTGTCCTGACCTGGATAGCCCAGGCAAGCCCGATCTCCTCAAATCTTGCGGGCTAAGCACGGTTGACTTTGGCAAGTAGTTTGATGGGAGACCTCCTTGAAATACCAGAGGCGGGAGGCGGGGGCAGGCTTTATTCAGCCACCTCTCTGAATATCCTCCAGGCCCCCAGTAGAGGTCAGTCACCAGAGGTTGCCATGAGTTCCAAGTGCACACACACTCACACGCACAGACACACAATACAAAAAATACCAAAAAATTTGCAGTATTACACTGCAAATATTTTCTCACCCGTGTCTGCCAGTTTCATCACCACTTTCATCCTCTTCACATTCATTGGGCCCTTCAACTATTTTTTCTTCATCATCTTCTATTAGCTCTTCAAGGTCTCTAGATTTCTTTAAGCCTTCCTGATATCTTTAAGTACAAAAGTTCCAGATGTGAACTACTAATTTAAAAAGATTATCCACCCATAGACAACAAGAAAACAAAACAGAACAATGATCTTTAATAGCCCTTGACATGTTTGTCCTCACCTCCTCATTCACAGAAATTAGAATGGATCTTTGAGAGACACCTGACTATAGCGGTACTTATGTCACTTCTATGCTTGTCCTAGGAAAAGTGTGAAATTTGCTTCTGCAATCCACCACCTGAGGTGAGGCCTTCAGGGTACTTCATCATCCCTAGGTAGCCTTGCTGAACAAAGAACATCAGGAAAAATGCACAACACAAACACTACATTTTCAAGAAAGGCGATTTGTTGTTCTTCCAATGGATGCAAGAAAAACAACAGGTTGCTTACCTGTAACTGATGATCTTCGAGTGGTCATCTGTGCAGTCACACCCATGGGCTCCAGTGTGCCTGTGCTGATCCGATCGGTGGTATGCCAAAGCTGAATCGGATTTTCGTGCCTTCATCCCTGGCATGCGCAGGAACCCCACCATGCATGTCCAAAGGGGAGGGGCGTGGACATCCTGCAAGTTCTGTCTCACTGCTGTGCCACCGAAAAAGCCAAACTGGAGCTGACAGCAGTGGGGAAGGAAGGTGCTGGTTTTGACCTTTAAAGCCCAATATGGTCTCGGGCGTACCTACCTGAGGGACTGCCTTTCCCCACATGTTCCACAGAGAGCACTGAGGTCAGGGTTTCAAAACCACTTGACCCTCCCTGGACTGAAAGACGCCAGACTGGCCTCTACCAGGGCCAGGGCCTTCTCAGTAGCGGCTCCACACTGGTGGATTGAGCTCCCAGAAGACATTATGGCTCTGTGGGACCTTTTACAGTTCCGCAGGGCCTGTAAAATGGAGCTCTTCCTCCAGGCCTTCAATTAGGAGTCGCTACTAATAACAACTGAATTGTTAAGGCCCCCTATGTCAACAACAACATCAACAGCTAGGGATATTCTGGACACTGATTTTGGCCATACTGTTGTTAACATCTGAACACGGCCTGTTGGGATGTTACCGCCATCAGCACTTTACTTGTCTTTCTGATATGTTATGTTTATGAGTTTTTATGATGTTGCATTCTGTCAATGCATCTGTGTTTTAATATTTTAACTTTTAATGTAAGCCACCCTGAGCCTGCCTTGGCAGGGAGGGCGGGATACAAATCAAATTAAGTAAATAAATAAAATAAAGGCCCTGCTTATGTGGTTTGGGGGGCTTAGAGCGGTTAGAAGCCTGTCCAGATCCATAATTAGGTTTGGAAGAATAAGGTGGTCAATTTCCCACTGAAGAAGTAAGAGGATGCCAAGAGCGATCTGGGGATTGGTGGGAATATGGGCATTTTGGCCAAGAATGTGACCAATACCTGGGCTTGTAAGGTCTTGATGAGGATGACATCCCTAAAGTACAGGAAGTTTTAATGCTTTTATCCAAGTGCTGTAAGACTGTATCAGTGGTTGCATGTCAGAGTCCCTGGCCGTCGAAGGGAAGATCTTCAATATATGACCTAGTGTCTTACTGAAGGGTGGTTGTAAGCCAAGAATTCCGGTGCACAGCAATGGCAAATGTTATAGTCTTAGAAAAGATATCCAGGGCACGTTTGGAAGTGTTGATTAATTGCTTAGCCAAGAGTAGGCCTTCCTTTTGGATCTTACGAGCCCCCTGATGCTTGTCATCTGGAAGAGAAGCAAAGATGTCGTTGAGCTGCTCCCAAAGGGCATACTGGTATCTACCCATGCAGGCCAAGTACCGTAGTTGGTGGTTTTAACACCTAGGGCACTGGTGGAGTAGAAGCATCTTCCAAAGGAGTCCAGCTTCTTGCTTTTTCTATCTGCTGGTGTGGAGTGAGTCCTTTTACTTTTGGGCAAGGATGTTACTACCATGGAGTTCGGTTTAGGATGGGTATAAAGAAATTCAGCCCCTGTTTCCTGCACCTTATACATATGGTCCAGCCTGCGAGAGGGTACTGGAGCAGAGAAGGGCTTATCCCATGGCAGTTTAGCCACTTGTAGAAGAACAGTAGACATAGGCAGAGCAATTGCTGTTGAAGTATCTAATTGTACTACATCAAAGACAGCATCTGTTTTTGAAGGTTGAGGCTGAATGACAGTGAGGCCTAAAGAATGAGCCATTCATTTAATCAAGTCTCCATAGGAACTCGTCTTCCAAAGAAGAAATGGGGAAATCATCCGAAACTGATGGTTTGGGTGAAGGATCCCCAGGAAAACTGTGTGTGTAGTGAGGCCTAAAGAATGAGCCATTCATTTAATCAAGTCTCCATAGGAACTCGTCTTCCAAAGAAGAAATGGGGAAATCATCCGAAACTGATGGTTTGGGTGAAGGATCCCCAGGAAAACTGTGTGTGTTGGAACCTCCCCCATCGGAGGCATCGTTCGAGGAGTCAGAAAAAGCAGAAATAGGAATAGGGTCTAGAACATCAGGGACAGGTTGTGGAGGTTGTGCCAGGGTCGATGGGCCCAGAATTGAAGGGACAGGTGACTGATCTCGAGGAGAAGGTCGACATGGAGGAGCTGGTATCGGAGCCCTCGATACCGAAGTGAATGGTACTGGGCAATGAGCACGAGGTGAACAGGAGTGGTCCCAGTCGGAATGCCTTCCTGGTGTTAGCCAAGGCGTTGTTGATGGCAAAGGAAAGGCACTGTAAAGGTATTGAAATTGTCGCTGGCCCCAAGGAACCATCTGCGGTGGAGGTGGGTGAAAGCGCTGTGTCGACTATCTAGAAAGGGAGAAACCTCATCGTGGAGAATAGTGCCTATGCCGGGATAAAGGACTATGGCGTGCAACATCATCTGCATATCGACGTCGATG